CATAATTATGGAGTGTAATTTATTTTCAACTCTAAATATCTTCAAATTAATGAAATAATAAGTTATTAGGGAGGAAAACCCGTCTGGATAACAGCAGACTGACTTCTGGTAAAATATACAACAGGTCTGGACCACTCTTGAATTTTGTTCGTATCTGGAAAAAATCATAGAATATGAAAACATTGGTGAATGCCACAAATTCTCCTAAATCACTCGTAYGCACAACTTAAGAACAAATCTGTGCGTACGAACGGTTCTTGCACGAGGCCCAATGTTTGAGCAGCTTTTTGTCTGTTAAACTAGAAAACTATTTTTATCCAACATGAAGAGTTTTTGTTTAAAGTGACAGCATTTTTCAAACACAAACTGTGTTTTCTGTGAAAATGAATAAATAAGTAGAAGAAGCTGAAGAAACAAAACACAAGCTAAAGAAGAAAAACGTGAACTCAAAAACACAAAAGTAGAAAAATTTTTTAGAACATCTAAAAGTAGCAAAAGGTAAAGTATATTAGTTGTATCTCATATTCTTACTGCAATGTTTGCTTCAGTATTAACAGTTCAATGAAGTGATTTAATGTCTGTTTGTATGGAGCAACATTAGAGCCAAAACTAAGATTACTGCACACCCAGCGGTGACTACGTCCTTCTATCAGGAGGATGTATCTATTCTAAAACCAGTTACTGATCTGGTTAATGACTGGTCAACACTGCTGCGAAGGAGACTTATAAGTGTTAGCCTCTTATAGCATGCATGGGCTGGTCACCCAACACTATTGGATGCATACTGTTTTTAAGAAAATAAAACGTTATCAAGAAAATACAATGGAGCTTTACGGCCAAACTAAGATAATTTTTTCACAATAAGAAGGTCAACAAATTACGTGAAAAAAGTATTTTTAATGAGCTTTGATACAGTTATTAAAATCTGACATGACCAGAAAAAGAAAATCTCTTAGTCTGCCCCTATTCCACTGCATTTTCACCATAAAGTTCTCTTAAAAAAAAGAAACATATGCATCGGTGACCGTCCTAAAGATGTTAGCCTGTCCAATGCTAAACCAGACTATCTGTGTTAAAGGATAACAGACAGAGTAGGTGATCCAGTGACTGACCAGCCAAGACTAAGCCTAGTTGAGTAAACTGAGTAAATAATATACATACTGTATATTGCTCAATTTACTCCACCTGGCTCAGTGGAACCAGTTTGGTTCAGTAAATTCAACAGTATGTTTTTTAGAGAGTGTGTAAAAGTACTTTTACTTTTACTTTCCCAGTTTTTGTGAACAGTTTTGTGACTTTTACTTGAGTAGTTTTCTTATCAGTGAAATTTATTTTACCAGTCATTTTCTGTTCATATACAGTGGTTTGCAAAAGTATTCATACCCCTTGAACTTTTCCATATTTTGTCACATTACAACCACAATCATAAATATATTTCACTGGAATTTAATGTGAAAGACCAACACAAAGTGGTATACAATTGTGAAGTGGAAGCAAAATTTTACATGAATCAAAACATTTTTTACAAATAAAAAACTGAAAAGTGCGATGTGCAAAATTATTCAGCCCCCCTGAGTCAATACTTTGTGGAGCCACCTTTTGCTGCAATTACAGCTGCAAGTCTTTTAGGGTAAGTCTCCACCAGCTTTGCACATCTAGTGACTGCAATTCTTGCCCATTCYTCCTTGCAAAACAGCTCAAGCTCAGTCAGATTGGATGGAGAGCGTTTGTGAACAGCAGTTTTGAGATCTTGCCACAAATTCTCAATTGGGTTTAGGTCTGGACTTTGACTGGGCCATTCTAACACATGAATATTCTTTTTTTTAAACCACTCCATTGTAGCTTTGGCTTTATGTTTGGGGTCGTTGTCCTGCTGGAAGGTGAACCTCCGCCCCAGTCTCAAATCTTTTGCTGACTCCAACAGGTTTTCTTCCAAGATTGCCCTGTATTTGGCTCCATCCATCTTCCCATCAACTTTGACCAACTTCCCGGTCCCTGCTGAAGAGAAGCACCCCCAGAGCATGATGCTGCCACCACCATATTTGACAGTGGGGATGGTGTTTTCAGAGTGATGTGCAGTGTTCTTTCTCAGCCACACATAGCGTTTTGCATTGTGGCCAAAAAGTTCAATTTTGGTCTCGTCTGTCCAAAGCACCTTCTTCCACATGTTTGCTGTGTCCTCAACATGGCTTCTGGCAAACTGCAAACGGGACTTCTTATGGTTTTCTTTTAACAATGGCTTTCTCCTTGCCACTCTTCCATAAAGACCACATTTGTGTAGTGCACGACTAATTGTTGTCCTGTGGACAGTTTCCCCCACCTGAGCTGTGGCTCTCTGCATTTCATCCAGAGTCACCATGGGCCTCTTGGCTGCCTCTCTGATCAGTGATCTCCTTGTTCGGCCTGTAAGTTTAGGTGGACGGCCTTGTCTTGGCAGGTTTACTGTGGTGCCATACTCTTTCCATTTCCGGATGATGGATTGAACAGTGCTCCGTGAGATGTTCAAAGCTTGGGAAATCTTTTTATAACCTAAGCCTGCTTTAAACTTCTCCAAAACCATATTCCTAACCTGTCTGGTGTGTTCTTTGGACTTCATGATGCTGTTTGCTCCCCAATATTCTCTTAACCAACATCTGAGGCCGTCACGGAGCAGCTGTATTTGTACTGAGATGAGATTACACACAGGTGGACCCTTTTGAGTCATTAGCAGTCATCAGGCAACTTCTGAATGCAATTGGTTGCACTCAGGGAAAAGGGGGCTGAATACTTTTGCACGTCGCACTTTTCAGTTTTTTATTTGTAAAAAATGTTTTGATTCATGTAAAATTTTGCTTCCACTTCACAATTGTATACCACTTTGTGTTGGTCTTTCACATTAAATTCCAGTGAAATATATTTATGTTTGTGGTTGTAATGTGACAAAATATGGAAAAGTTCAAGGGGTATGAATACTTTTGCAAACCACTGTAACTATACTTTTATTTAGTTATTTTTTTGGGTACTTTATGATGAGTATGATTACATCATTATTTTCAAAAGGTGGTGTTTAGCCTGTTGACATGATTTTTTCACTCTTGAACACAAAAACTATAATTTAGTGTTTCCTATAAGGCTGTTTCCATGTGGATGCAAGGCTGAAACGTTATAACTTTACCCTGTTTATAAAACAATGTTCCCATGTGGACAGAGCCTTGGTGCAAAATGTTGATGTTCGAGGCAGCGGGTGATAAGCATTCCTTGTGTGGGTCTTTCTTTGGAGGGGGTCATTGTTCACTGCTGAATAAAACCCTGGTGAGTGAGTAATGAGTGTGCTCGTCCTGCAGCGCCTGAAGGAGCTGAAGCAGAGGGAGTTTTACCGAGCGCTGGCCTGCAGGAGGCAGAGGAGGAGAAGAGAGGAGAGACGAGAGGACAGAGCTCAGAGGAGACTCCTTCAGCATGACAGGAGGAGGACTGGACAGTGGTGAGTAGCAGGAGAATGTGTCTGTTAGCAAAATATCTCCTCACCCACAGGATGGAGAGTGATAGACCTCAGACATCTCTGCAGTACATCCAGAATGTTTAATGTTTGGAGTCAACCTTACACAAAATGAACAGCACTGTTACATATTATTATTAAGCTGTCATTTATGGCCTTTAATTGTTTTAATTATTTAACCCAGGAGGGTTCAGTTGATAACTGTCTGCAGTACATTGACATCACATAGTTTAGCTGAGTTTATGTAGATTTTATAATGTTTTATCTCATTTTGTACAGTTAACACAGTGTTCTCTTTAAATGACTCTAGATTTATTTTTAGGGATCACTTGAGTTATTACACCTAAAATAAACGAATCACCTGCTGCAGCTCAGCATTTCATCTGTTTGACATTTACTGTTTCATTACATTGTTTTAACCTGCTTTGTTTTCAGGTGAATGTGTAAAACAAACTGATAAACCTTCAGTTTGTTGAAAAGTCAGTGTAGGAGTGGAGCTTAAGGTGGTGTTAAGCTTCTTCCACGTCTCTCATACACGAGGTTATGAGGAAACTTTTACCAAGGTATTTCTCATTACTTGTTAATATCTTGACTGTGCGAAGTGAAAAGTGACACAATAAGTGAACGTTCAGACGAGTTCAAGTTGAYTCATAAAAGACTATGCAATCATTTATTTACACAAACTGAACAAATCATAAATTACACTTAATTGTGGTTATTCCTATAAAAAGTGTCCAAGTTAAATGAGACAAAATCCGCATCCGAATTTCAATTCACGTCAACTCAGATTACTTCAATAGAACAGTAAAACGTCAGTTCTGCTGTTAACAACCAAACAATTTTACTGGCAGTTTAGCTTAAGTTTTGGCAAATAAGAACAAGAAAAGGAGGAAAGTAAGATTAGTATGTTACTACGACTTTTACTTTTATCAAAGTGTGGGTCAACCGGAACTGCACGTCTTTTCTAAGCTCAGGGTCCACATGACACGTCACTCCGAACACATCAGCTTTTACCTGATAATGTCTTCTTAAGGCACCCTCGGGGTAGGAGCTGGCTCGCCTCCGATCAGTCAGGGAACTGATGTCGGCTCGCTTACCGGTCATTGGCGAACAGGTGTTATTTTCAGGTGACTTTCGTCTGTTTCAGTCCAAGCCAGAAAAATTCAAGCTGTACATCTGGTCCCTTCTTTTCAAAACAAAATCTCCCCATGGGAGGTGAAAACACACTTTAGAGGCTTGAAGCCTCAGGGGTGGGACTGGCTGGCGTGCCTGGTCCCTGGCTGTTGTCTTCCCTGTTAGCTCATGGGCTAAAACTTAAAAAACCAAACTGAGTCGTCCAGAGAGAAACTCAGCTTTGTCTTCCTCGGTTGGAGTCAGGAAGAAGAGTGTGTCGCTCAAAGCCGTCCGGGTTAGTAAAAGAAATGGGCGATCTTTGGTTCCGCCCTCAGGCTTAGAGATGAGTCAGAGAAAGAAAGATAAAAGATTTGCCAGCGGCGCCAGCCCAAGGTTAAAATTCTGTGGTTGTTCACAATAGGATATAATTACCTTTTTTCAGCTTTCTTCTGATAGACAGAGAAATCACTGCAAAACATTTATGATGATTAATTAACATTTCTATTTTATAATCAGTTCTGAACCTTCTGTTAGTCCAGATAAATGACAGATTTTCTCAGGAAAAATCCACAATTATATTACTGTGTTCACAGTAAAATAAAAACAGTGATTTACATAAAAACACAAGGAAAACATTGTAATCAGATTCTCTGTGATTTTTTATACCATTATAAATCTTTAAGGCACGATAAAAGAATAGAAGTGATTCCACTTTTCTTGTGACAGTCATTATCATGATTTAACAAATGCATAAACATTCTTAGTTAAACAACAAATGAATCACGAACAGAAGAGATTGTTCTGTCCATTATCTGATTAAGAGAACTGAGGGGTTCTCTTCCACGGTTAGAATGACCTGTCATGGCCTAAATAGAGTTCAGTTTGTAACAGAGTTCCTGTCCTCTTGGTAGGCCTGTCCGAGGCCTGCTTCAAGGCAATAAATCTTGTTTCTTCACTCGAGGTGACCCCTACATCAGTTTATGAACAAAAATAGAACAAAGGAGTTTTTAACAGGTCAGTTCTGGACTGAGAAGAAAATCATCAGATTAGACAGACTGAACCATAGATGTGAGGTCAAGGGTCAGAATCCAGACTTATCTGAACCAGTCTTGTATAAAGTACCTCAGAGTGATACTTTAGTAAAAGTACATGTATCTTACCATTAAATTACTTTGGTGAAAGTTAAAGTCTTCTCTAAGAATACTTGAGTAAAATAAGTAAGTAAGTCTGTAAAGTTTATTTATATAGCACCTTTCTTAGACATAAAATCACAAAGCACTTCACATAAAATAAAATAGAAACAATAAAGTAAATTAGTAAATCAAAACATCACCACAGCATTGCATTCATGAGAGTACAAGTAATAAAAACACACTTAGCTAAAAGCCTGTTTGTAAAAGAAAGTTTTCAGATATATTTTACTTGAGTATCAAAAGTAAATTTCTGACATAAAATGTACTTAAGTATTAAAAGTAAAAGTACTAAGTATAAACGAACAGTTGTTTTTTTTATTTGTAATTTATTGGGAGGTTACCTCAAAATAAAAATTTTCCAAAGGCTGAAATGACTACAGTGTTATATAAAAATGTTAGTTAAAAATTAGGATGCATTAGTCTACCTGTTTCAGCTGCATATACATACATACAAATATATTTACCACAGACTTCTTCGTACTAGGATACATAAATCTATGTCCTGCTGGAGAGTGACACGATGTGTCACATGCAGCTGTTGTGTACAAACTAATATGGTATCAGAATATATTTATACTTCTCATTCAAAAACATGTACATTGTTGTGCTCATATTTAGACTTCCTGTTTTGCAAATGCTGCCTTTTTGAAATTTGGTATGCTTGTTTGTCTTTGTGTCTATGGTGTATAATGATGTGATTGTGATGCTGTAATTCTGAGNCTGTTTTTTTTAAACAGGTGTGCTTTAAATAAATGTTACAAATGTGTTCATTCCTACAAGCTGTCAAATATATTTATCATTTTTTATACATTTACAAAATACACAAAATTATAAATGTTATTAACTGAAATTAAATAAAAATGTTTTATGTGTTTTATGSTATTAAAAAAAAATTCATCCATTCTGTCCTCCTTATTCCTAATCTGCTTCCATCTGCTGGACACTTTTTGTTGTGCTCATATTTAGACGTCCTATTTTGCAAATGCTGCCTTTTTGAAATTTGGTGTGCTTGTTTGTCTTTGTGTCTATGGTTTATAATGAAGTGATTGTGATGCTGTAATTCTGAGTGTTTTATGTGCTGCAGAACAGGAACCTGCTGTAAAACAGCAATTATGCTGAGTCAGGCTTGATTTTTAACAATCTTTTCCTGTTAAATAAATAAATCCAAATCAAATCAAATCAAATCAAATTCACTCTGTCCTGGAGGTTAGTTTATCAGGATAGTATTTTTTAACAACAACAAGCCAGAATGAAATAGGAGCAACAACTTCAACTTCCTACCTTTTTAAAAACTGTAAAGTACAGATAATTGTGTAAAAATGTAAAGAGTAGAAGAATAAATGTAGGCTGAAAAATAATTACTCAAGTAAACTACAGATAACCAAATTTTCTACTTAAGTACAGTAACAAAGTATTTGTACTTAGTTACTTTACAGCTCTGATCTGAACTCAGGGTGAATACTTGGACATGTTTTCTCAGGTTGAGCAGCTCAGCTATTATAAGTATTACGGTAGACGGTCCGGTCCGTCCTCCCTGCGTCTCTTCAGAGAGAAGTCAACCTGCAGAGAGGGAAGAAGCTGTCAAAACACAACTAGGTCAGGAGAATCAGCTCAGCCGTCACAAACAGACTCAAGTTGTCAGGAAGCAGAAGTTTTTCCTCAGACTGGACTCTGAAGTTGATTTATTTTCATCTGAAGCTGAGAAATCCTCTCTTGTTGACAGTTATGTGACAAAAATCCCATCATTGTCCTCAGAGCAGCTTTGTGCTCCTATTTTCAGCTGAAGGCTGGAGCTGGAGCCTTCCTCACAGGAGCATGTGATTGGTCAGAAGTTGAGAACAGATTGTTGTTATTTAGCTGTTGTTGTGTAAACAACATGAACAGTTCTGATGAAGCAGAGAGTACACGCATCTACAGCAGGTAAAATAAGTATTGAACACGTCACCATTTTTCTCAGTAAATATATTACTAGAGGTGCTAATGACATGAAATTTTCACCAGATGTTGGTAACAACCCAAGTGATCCATACATACAAAGAAATCAAACCATACAGTGGTTTGCAAAAGTATTCATACCCCTTGAACTTTTCCATAT